GAGACGATTTAATTCTGAATCACTGCTGGAAAGAGCGGAAGATGTAGATGAAGTTTTTAAAGATATGGGAGTTTTTAAAAAATTAATGTTTCCAGAAAGATGCCATTTTCTAATTATTTAGTGTCTTTGTTTCATCCAGGTTAATTAGTGCAGTTTGTCAAAACATGTTGTGTGTGTTTGTTCCAGGCTCCCTGACATGAGCCAGTGGCAGAGATTTCCCTACGTTCACAGGGACAGGTGTGCGCCCGAAAGCCAAACGTCTTGCACTGGGGCCCCAAGAAGTTCTTCTGAAGCCGCTTCATCCTGGATGGAAAACATAAAAAAAAAAAAAAAAAAAAAAAACGCTCTCTTAATTGTAAATGTAGATATGATAGACAAAACGAATCTCTAATCAAATTGCATGCTCGCCTTCCTTCCCCTCCTCCTCTTCCTCGTTAGCGAACCTCTCTTTGTCTCTCCTTTCTCTGTAAACCTAACTGTCCTCCCACAACCAGCCACAGTGAATTCTGGGAGATACCTATCCCCTTGCTCTTTTTTTTCTCTCAAACTGTCTTTCCTCTTAAGTACCTTCACCTCCTCCTTCTCCCCCCTAGAGATAGAGAAAAAAGAACATCGAGTGCTCTCTTCATATTTTGCTGTCCCGCTCTGGCCTCTCGGGTTGCACCACTTCTGCCTGGTCCTCGCTCTGAAATATTTCACAAAAAACTGTCCCCTCTTCATTTTATCCACCTTCTGACTGACCAAACTCTCCTCCCAAAATCAAAACTATCCCCCTCACTGCAGTATATCCAGAAATGTTTAAACTCTTCGAAGTCTGCCGAATGAGAGAAGTGGGGGGGGGGGAGATATCCTCGGACACCTGAAGCGAGGCGCTTTCAGGGAGGTGGTCTTGGATTTTTAAGCTCAAAAAAAAGAAGAAGAAGAGGGGAGTTTTACTGTGCAAGAAAAGTTTGTAAACAATGACATCTTTTAAAGTTTTTTCCTGTGTTTTTTACAAGGAGGTTCTGTGTTGGCTCACCTTTCCAGTCACTAATGTGGTTGCAGGCAGGTAGGCAATGGGGAGCTCCCCTATAAAATTTATAATAAAAAATATGTGTGTGTGTGTTGTGGTGTGTGTGTGTGTGTGTGTGTGTTAGTGGGTTCAGGAGAGGTTTTTTAACCCACAAGTGTTTGTAGATCCACTTTTTATTTATGTCGGAGCTGGGAGCAAAAAACAGCTGCTGTAGTCGACTCGCTGAACGTTCTTCTTTAAAAAAAATCATGTTTGACTCAAAAGATGTTGGAAGCTCTGCGCCGATTGTTTGTAATGAAGGTTTGTTTTTGTCACAACTTGTTTTATTTATTCAGAAAAAAAAAGGAGCCATTTTATTAGAACTACTGTGATCATGCGTTTTTATAAAAGCACCCACTGTAGCTTGATGCTTACAACCTTATGTTTGGGAGTGAATGCTGTACGTCAGGGTTCGGGCACATGTTAACAGTTATTGTGTGTAAGTGTACAAAGAACTTTTTCGCTATTTTTTTAAACTGTGGGATTTCTTTTGTTGTTGGTTTTTGGCATATTTGGAAGACTGTATGTATGTATGTATGTGTGTATGTGTGTATGTGTGTGTGTGCGCAAGTTAAGATGTATATTTGAATGAAGCTGAACCAAACTTTTACATTGTCTTTGTCCGTTTGTCTCTCTTCTCAGAGCTCATTTAGAGGTTTTTACCCTCTCAGCTCGTCATTAACACTTGATTATTTCTTTCTGTCGACATCCACACAATGCTGCTTAAAATCAAGCCCCCTCCCCCCCAAAAAAAATTACTTAGTATCAAGAGCTGCACTTTGGTTTTATTAAGTGCTTCAGCGTGTGTTTAGTGATATTTTGTAGCATAAATCTTTGTTGCCCCCTTTTCCTTTTCCCAGTTTGGAGACTTAAAGCGACACGTATCCTGTTGCTGAACCGTACAGTTGGCCCAGATTTCAGTCAGTTCAATCAAAGCTTCCTCGTGCCGGGAGTCTTAAAGGAATGGTTAGGCAGTTTGAGAAATTCACTCATTTGCTTTCTGTCTGAAAGTTAAAAGAAGACTGTGGAGCCAGGAGGTGATTAGCTTAGCTTAGCATAAAGACTGAGAATACACCTCTAACACAAAGTAATTGACAAGTTATACGTCGTTCATTCAATCCGTACACAGAACAACAACCAACGGAGACAGTTGGATGAGACTTTTCTTCTTCTTTAAAGGTCCAGTGTGAAACATTTAGGAGTCTATCGTCAGAAATGGAATATTATATTGATTGTATGTTTTCATTAATGTTTAATCACCTGAAAATAAGAATTTTTGTGTTTTCGTTACCTTAGAATGAGCTGGTTTTATACTCAGATGCAGCGGGTCGCCCTTCATTAAGTCCGCCAAGTTTCTACAGAAGTTTCACAGCAACCACAGTTTGTCCTGCACACCTCACAGCCGCTCTCAGTCCCAGGTCGTCAAACACAGACGTGAGCGGTATTCAGTTAGTTGCAATCTGCAACGTCACTGCTAGANNNCTACACACTGGTCCTTTTAAGGTTTGCGTAGAGAGCACTGTGACCGTATGTAGTGCGGGGGTCACAGATGGGGCTACCTGTTTCATGTTGCTTCCAGTCTAGATGCTAAGCTAAGCTACCCACGTAACTTTACATCCGTTACTCATTGTGCGGACAGGAGATTGATATTGAGACAGAAAGTGAATATTTCTCAAAATGTCAAACTATTTGATGGGGCCAGGAAGAGCTCGGGACCAGATTGACAGCGCTACGCGTACATAACAAATAAAACTCAGGGTCCAACATTAAAAGTGAAAGCTGGTGCAGAAATGACTCTTTTAAAGCTGATTAGTAAAACATAACCAACTATGCAACCCAACAGGATCATACAGCAGATCACTGTCTGTCAGCGGTACATCATTGTACTGTATGGCATCATCATTTATGTTTGTGGGACAGCAAACTAGTGTCTATTTTTAGTTGTTGAACTATTCGAGTCTCTGCATTTTTGTAAATTTCATCATGTGTGTCTGTTCTTTAATGGCAGGACAGAGCTGCCCCCGAAGCAGCCACTATTTCTGTAAAAAGCTATGAAAAAAAACCCACTATTGGCCTTAATGAGTAATTAGTCTACAGCATTTTGGAAAAGGTGTGATTGAGTAAGTATGCAACACTGCAATAACATGTCAGTGACCGGACTTTTTTTCCTACTCTAAATAAAATTTGAAAAAAAAGGAACCAAAAGCAACCGTAGATTTTGTCTTTTCTTCATGACATCTTTTTGTTTTCAACAGCACAAACAAACAAACATTAACCATCCTTCTGTGCATACTGTCTGTCAGTTTATTTTTATTTTTTATAAATCAGGAAGATATGATTTGTTATGTAACAGCCTGTACAACGCAACATACAGAAAACAAAAAAACAAAAATAATACAAATTAAATTGTACAAAGCAGCACTGGGCCATAAATAACCCATATAATAATATTTTTCACATTTTTGATTGGAAGTTTTTCCTTTGCCAAACCCCGTAGATCTTCCATCAGTCAGATCACAGCTGCTCTTAGAAGGTGACTGAGCTTCTTTTAATTATACTTTCTGAGTTTGACTCATTAAAACTGTGCCTTGGAAAATGTTGGGGTTTCATGTTCTGTAGCAGGTTCATCAAATTGGCAACAGGATCGAGAACGGTGAAAAAAAGAAAACAAAGATACGCTTTGGAAAGCTGTTCACATACAATCAACCATTAGGCAGATGTTTTGGATTAAATAAAACCCTTGTATAAACATTTGACAAATGTAAATCGGTGTTATTTGAAATAAGAGAGCCCTAATGAATAACATTCGCATGTAAACACCAGCGTAGGTCGGGGAGGAGGGGGGATGCAGGCGACTCGTCCTGCTGACCTCGAATCTCCTCGCTGTTGGCTCTGGAGGTCCTGCCAGGTAAACATGGTCAGACATGATGGGTGGATAGATCAGAGTGGATCCAGAGTAAACGATGGAGGGAGGGGGGAGGGGAGGGGTGCAAGACAGCGGGAGTGATCTGGAAAACCACTTAAACATTTTGGCTTCAGTCCATTTAACCACATTTAAAAAAAAAAAAAAAAAAGGTCAGTTTGGGAAATTTGCTTTCTTGCTGAGTTTGCTACATGAGACTGATACCATTGATCCATAGCTGTATGCTAACACAACACAGCCAGGAAACTAAGTTATTTTAAGTAACACTTACTTAATTTTGGAAGTTAAAAACATTCTTGATTAAGCAGCTTTTACTGGAAATTTTAAGCGAAACTAACTTAGTTTTGTAAGTGAAACATTTTTGATTAGACTTTTTACAACGGATTGTTTTCACAGTACAAGTAAAGATTAGAAAAGTCAGTCAACTAAAGTCCCTAATAAAAGCTGCTTCATCAAGAATGTTTCTACCTCACAAAACTGAGTTAGTGTTAATTAAAATGTTAATTATCAATCAGTTTCAACAATTTTTTAGGTTTTTACAGTGTAGCACCTCTGAAGCATATATCTCCTTTGTTTAATCTGTACAATAAAAACTGTAAAATCTACGAACGAATCCACTACGAACGTTTTCTTGGCCGAAACTACTTCTTGGTTGCCAGGCGTCCGACAGAGTCTCCACTGGCTGCCTAGCAACTGGTCCTAGCCAAGAAATAACCCCCCTATAAAAGGACGAACTTTACTACAATTTAGATTTTGTACGGATTAAACAAACGAGATACATGTTTAATAATGAGTGAGCTGTAGAGGTGCTGATAGGGGGATGATTTGCTGCTTTCTCCATGTTTCCAGTCTTCATGCTAAGCTAAGTTAGCGAGCTGCTGGCAGTAGCTTCATGAGATTAGTGTTAACTTTAACTCTGGGTTAAAAAGAAAAAAAGCTAATTTCCCAAAATGTACAGCTTCTCATTTTTCCCCCCTTTTCCTGTATGAAAACCTATCAAGTCTACAAGTAAATATATATATTTAAATATCTCATGATGGATCCTCTCAGTTGTAACATACAAGCTGTAAGGCTGGAGCATAAGTTACCATCCATTATCTAATACACAATGTTTAGCTTCCCAACAGGTGCAGGAGGTTGTTTTGTTTTTGTTTTCTAGAGGTCCATTTTTCTGTAAAACCTTCCAGTTTCCCTCCACAGTGCAAAGCCTGTGAATGTTTTCAGAAGTGACGCCGGGGCCAAGAACAGAAATGCAAAGAGGACTGATAAAGTAGCCAGACTGCTAACGTGGAGACACGAAGAGGACAGCAACATACAGTGGTACATGTGTAAACAGTTTTTTCTTCCTCCAGTTTTAAAATCTTCTCCCTAAAGAAGTCACAATCACAACACACTCTTGGGTTCATTCTCAGATTCAAGTGTCTTTCTGTTTTTTTTTTTAAACATTTTTTGAAAACATTGTCACTCTTTTTTTTTGTTTTGTTTTTTTGACCCACGTCTCTCTCGTCTTTTTTTTTTAGGTGACAGTCCGTTAACGTGCAGGTTGGCAGGGGACAGCTCCTCCCAAAATAAAACACTGACCAGAGCGGAGATGATTAAGTGTTAAAATAAGTGCAAAATAAAGAAAAAAAAGCTGTTTGTGACGGTGCAAGTATGTCGGGAAGAATGAGAACAAAAAACGTGGCAAAAAACAAAAAAACAACAACTGTAGCAAATGAACTAAGGTGTCGTGTCGATGAGAAGTTAGTTTTAAAAATCGCCCACGAGTGTCCGAAACATAAAGTGCAGGCAGTGTCTGTTCTTCTTTGAAACCGCCGTAGCCCCCGGCCAATAAAAGAGTCCAAGAGCAAACAACCAAAAAACAAAAACAAAACAAAAAACAAAATAAACAGAACAAATCAATAATGCTGAATTGTCAACAATCCACAGTAGGAACAGCTGGATTCCAGAGGAGTCTCTCGCTCAAGGCAGGGGTTGGATTTGGTTGTCAGTTTATTAAAAGTACGAGGAGTGGCCCACGCAGACCCTCCCCCCACTTCCACCCGATTGCCTCCCTCGTCGCTCCCTTTTTCACTCGACCCGGATGAGCAGTCCGTAGAGGAGCGTGCCGCCCTGCTCCTTGGTGATCCACTCGATCTCTGAGTTGCTGAAGCGAGGGTCCAGGGGCTCGCTGTGGTTGAGCGTCTGGGGTCCCACCTTGTAGGAGCCGGGACGCACGCACACCTGGAAGCCCACCTGAGCCTGGTGGCAGCGGTGAGAACGGGGGTCCTGAAATCTGCAAGAGGAGAAGCAGAGTCAGTAAAATGCCCCTTCTTGTCAGCGCTCCGATATAAAGTCCAATAAAGGCAAACATAAAAACAGGTGTAGTGATTTTGTGAACCAGGTGGACTTACTGCACTTTGGGGGCAAAGATCTCCATGCCGGAGTAGCGCATAGTGGGGGAGAGCCTCACTCTGGGAACCTCCCTCCCGGGGGCGCTGTTCTCATCTGGCTCACTGTAGCCATTAGGACCCTCTGCCTTCACCGGGGACACCGAGAAGATGGACGACGTCCCTGCGACAACGAAATTACATTCACAGTTCAGGTATTTTGTTTTAGAAGTTCTCTCTTCTGCTTCTGGGGAGAATTTCAGTGGATCAAAAGGTTTCTTAAGACGGCTGTGGTCTTAACTTTTCTGATTAAAAGATGAATGAGTGATTCTCCTACCAGGCAGCAGCTGGCTGTGGTCCAGCGTGCGTCGCAGGGCTCCTACACTGGTGCCGTGGTACGCGATGTGCCACTTCTTCAGTGCGTTAGAAACCTCACAGTGGGGTTTGATCCTGCACATAGAGGATACGTGCATTTATAGACACACATTCTTCCTTTTAGTTTAATATTATTGTAAGAATAAATAAATCAGCGTTGCATTTTGGGAAGTAAAACACTGAAAAGACTTCTACAACTAAGAATTACTACACAACTTATGTTATTCTCTCCTAGCGTCATCTATAAGTCTCTGAAAATTAAAGGTGTGTTCAGTCATTTTAATAAACTTTCACCCTGGTGCTGAGTGACCTCAGTTAGAGCACCTTACTGCTCTAACGTGTATCTGACTGAGAGTTTGTCCTCTCACCTGAGGGCGAAGCGGCACCATCCGAAGGGCAGGGCGTAGTCCCGGGGCGGCTCTCCTCTCTTGTAATAAGCCTCGTCACCCCGAAGCTTGTGGCAGGACTCACAGTAGCACAGGTTGTACTTTGCGTCTTCGTTGAAATAGCCATCTTACGGACGGCGGTGGAGAAGACAGAGATCACAGTTGTTAAGTGATTTTAGATTAGAGAGAGAGAGAGAGGGAGGGAGAGATTGTGGTGGGGAGGCTGGAATAAAACTCACCTGGTAACGTGAGCAGGTCCTTGAAGCGTGAGCACAGCGCCTGGTACTCGCAGGTCTTGTTGGGGTTAACCTCTGGAGGGGGCGTCCAGCACACACTCTCTTTGATTCCTGTAAAAACACGGCGACAGATAAACAGGTAAAACTTAAAACACTGAACAGAAGCTAAAAGAAGAGATGAACAGTAACCATCGATGTTCTTACCGTCAACCATGTCTGCCTTCTCCATGTCGCCCTGACAACGGGTCTCACCACTCTCTCCGCCCACAGCTGGCACATTGTTTGTTACTATAGTAACCTGCCATGATGAGACAACATTCATTAGCATATCTTAGGATTTGGTTCATAGTGATGGCAGTGCTGAAATAATTTTTAATTGACAGTGAATGTGAGTAAAGTGCTAGAAAATTGTGATGCCAACATTATTTTGTTTTTGAAAACATGTTGGTTCCAGCATCTCAAATGTGATGATTTAATGCTTTTCTCTGCTTTATTTGATTGTAAACTGGACATTTTTTAGTTCTGGACTGTTAATAGAACAAGCTGAAGATGTTTTCCTGGTTTTTTATACATTTTATAGACGTAAAAATAAAAAATAAACCACTCCTGTTGATCACTGTTGGTGAGTCTAATGACATTTAGACTTGTTCTTATTCAAGCTAATATTAAAAAGCAGAAGTGATTAATTTTCTTATTATTTTGACCAAATTATATATATATATTCACAAATATAAATTGTTAAGGAAAAAGCCAAACTATTGTAAGATTTACACAATATTTATCTATGTATTACTTTCTTAATCTAGTCTAACTCTAGCATAACTTGTGACTATGGACTAATGAAAGTTTATTCAAAATAAATAAATAAAACAACAACAGCAATAAAAACCAAATCTAAAACAGCTTATCAAGACCCTGACGTTGAGGGGACAGTGAATAGGGACATCTAAGATAAAGTTATTAAAGGAGTTACGTTGTTTTGTAATTAAGATTTATAAAACACAATAACAGGGTTTTGAGTCAAGGTCCTCATACAGTACGAGGCCAGCTGACTGAAGTGGAGTACGTATGTGTCTGTAGCGCTGACCTGTTCACACTGGCCGTAGAGGTCGATGAACAGGTAGCAGGGCGAAGGAATGTCCTGCGCCGCCACACCCTGGTCCATGCCGTTGACGTAGAGGTGGAGACAACTGTTGGCGTCCACCAGCAGACCCAACACCGTCCCCTCCGGACAAGTGTCCAGGTTAGGACCATAGTTCTCACATATCTGAGGAGAAAGGAAAAGAGAGGAGAGACGATGGTGAAAGAAGAGGGGCAGGAAGCGAGGGAGACAAAAATGAGAAAAGATCAATCAATCAGGCAACGAGGCCAATGTCAGCGCGAACACACTCAGTTCGTCTTGTGAGACAAAAATCAATAGACAAACACGGCAGACAGATTGTGTGTGTTTAGGTGCGCGTGTACCTTTAGGGAGTTGTGGAAGACGGAGTCTCTCTGCAGCAGCCAGGCAGAGCGTTTGAGACAACACGCTGTGGAGGGGAAGTTGAGCCGGTCGGGGGAGTGACCTATCACGCCTAACGACAGCGACGACGTCCATGACGGGTTCAGACGGTCGATCTGAAACTGGTGAGCAAAGAGAGGATGTTGACAGACTGGAGCGGTCGCAGCTTAAATACAAGGTCTTTGTATTTGGTAATTTCATTTTAAGTTTTTTATTATCCTGCTGAATTTAGGTTTGTGTGACATCCTCTTTAATACTACTATTACTTCTTATCTACCTTCTTTTCTTGTTTAAGATTTTCTTTTTGGAACTTTTTCTGCTTCCAAATTGAGGATCTAAGGATAAAAGGTGCTGTATGCTCTACACATTGTAAAGTCCTGACCTTCCCATTATCACAGGTTTCACACTGTATGATAATTGAACAAACTGAAGATAGCAGACAATGCAATTTAATAATATGTATCAAAAATATAATTTAACTTAATATAATAATTGTAATTCAACTGATATTTATGCTATTTTCAACAAATTCCTGGTAATATTATAACAAAACAGGTCAAACAAGGACCTCATTTAACATGGAGCATTATGTAAAGACTGCCAGCTTTTTATTTCAAACTCAAGTTATTCAGATGAAGGAACTGAGCCCCTCGTACCACATAGACACCAAACCGTACGGTAAAGTTACCTGGAACAGCTGCTGGCGAGCAAGCGGCTGGGCGGTGACCAGCAGGCCTTGGTTGTAACTGGATACTCTGGCAGCCGTCAGATTCTGATTGGACAGCTGGATGTTTTTGCCGTGGTTCTCCAGGAACGCCATGATGGTGGGCACCAGCGCGCACGGCTCAGTCTCGACCTGGAGGTGACAAGAGGTGACGTGACGAGTCTGAGTTGCAGGCTCTTTTAATGTGCCGGCGCCCTCCTCTCTTTAGCCTCCTACCTCTCTGACGGGGGTGCTGTCCTCCTCTCCTTCGCTGCAGCTGTCCGAGGACAGCGAGGGCGCCTTGATGCTTTCCATGTCCTCCATCAGCGAAGAGCTCACGATGGACACCGCTGTTATCCGCCCGTATAGGTCCAACACTGCATACACATTCTGCGAGGAGCCAGAGAGAGGTGGTGAATGGCGGCGTGGGGCTGAGAGGCTGTGTGTGTGCGTGCATGTGTGCGCGTACCTTGGCTACTGCAGTCGCTGCAGGTCCCATGTCTTCTCCATCGATGAAGATGTGCATGGTGTCGTCACTGCGCCTCTTCACACCTACGCGGTTCCCAACCTAAACAACAGTCATATTCAGTGAAGATCAATCAATAATGAGCACAATATCTGACAGAATTATTAACCTGTTACTGATTTAATTGGGTTTAATTGACTTTATGCAAATATCTGGCAACCACAGAGTATCATCCATCACCTGTAGTTGAACAAAAAGAATAGTTAAATCATTGAACTTGATGGATGACACTAATCATCTTCAGGATTCAGTTCTGTGTGTCCACGGCCTTTGTTGCCTTGAGGTCAATATTAAATAATAGTTTTGTGTTAAACTACCACATTTCTCCCTGTGAACTGTTAAATATAATCTGATCCTACTGCTGCTAAGTGCTAAAGTGATAACAGTTCTAAATGATAACAAAGTCAAAAAGATAAAAGGAGAAGAATTAAAGTATGGTTACAGAATAAGAGAGATTACATAAAAAGAAGGGATATTTTTGAAGTGAGAAGATGAAGATACTGATCAATACAGATTTCTGTTAAGCTTCTCTGGCAGTTTGCGACAATCTCAAAGCTGTGATAACGTCTTTAATCCTTAATCAGGGCTTTGAAGCACTCAGAGGGACAATGAATCTGAGACAGAAGACGACATTATTGAGGGTGTAAAGGTCTTTGATATGACCTCTAACCAGATCTAACTGTGCTTTAAGCAACTCATTCTGAACAGACTGTAAATCTAACAGTGTCCACGAAGGGCTGCCAAAACCAGAGCGAAGTGATTTTCCTCACAGAGCAGGGAGGTGCGAGCTTACCGTCAGCCGGTCCAGTGAGCAGCAGTAGTTCTGGCGCTGCAGCACACCGTTGCGACGGACCTCAGAGCCGCAGAGCAGCCAGGTGACCTTGGTGCGGAGCTGCGGGAGGGAGGGGGAGAGACCTGACAGCGGGCATGACGGCAGCTCCAGGGGTGCCAGTGTGGTCAGACCGATATGCAGGGAACCGCACCACTGCTCATCCACTTCATCAATCCTCACCTGCAGAGGGCAGAGAGGCATCAGGAAAGAGAGAAAATATTTTGTTTCCATATACGCAGATAGCAGCATTTACGAGGTTTATGTGCACATTATTTTAAAAGTGACAACAATAAACAGCAAGTTTATGTTCAGCCCTACTTTACCTCAAACAGCTCGTCTGCTTTCAGCTCCTTCGCACTGAACACGATGCCGTGAGCGTAACCTCCTACGCGGACGGCCTGGCAGCCCTCACCGAGCAGCACCACGTTCTTACCGTGTTTACTGTGGAGCCGGTGGGCAACACCTGCTACTACACACACACACACACCACACACACACACACACACAGACAGTGGAAAAATGGAGATGGGACTTTGAGTGCAATTGATATGTAATATATCTCATCTTTTACTCCCTTTCTACTCTTTAGCTTTATTTTCCATTTGTAGAATTCAATACAACTGAATGGAAGAAAATGTTATGTTTGTAGAAAACCAACTATATAAAGAAATTATCTCACTAAACATTCACAAAATTTCCAAAAAAATCAGACTTTAATTTCTTTAAAGTTCCAGTGTGTAACAATTTAGGAGGATCTACTGGCAGAAATTGGAATATAATATTCATAACTATGTGTTTTCGTTACCATAAAGGAGCCTTTTATATCTACAGACACCGTGGGTCACTTTCCACAAAGTCTGTCATGATTCTACTGTAGCCCAGAACAGCTACAATAGTTTCTCCTTAATTGTTAGAAAGAGTGAGTGAAGTGAGGGAGTTGCGATCTGCAATAACACCGCTAGATGCCACTAAAGCCTACACACTGGTCCTTTAATGCTTTTCATGGCTTTCCAGACCTGAGTTGGGTCCCTGATGTGTACCTGGTGAGTGGATGGGGAAGCTCTTCTCAGTGATGTTGCTGGTACAGAGGCTGTTGTCAAGCGGGCCTGACGAGCTGGTGATGGACACCTGAACACACTGACCATACAGGTCGATCACAGCGTACACCTCTGAAAGAGAGAGAGCCGGCGAGAGAGAGACATGGATTGTATTGTATTGGGTCATCACATCAAACTCCTAACTCAAGACAGCGGTATTTCAGCCGTATCTGTGCTGCAGCAGAGTCCTAATTCTGATTTCTATTAACTACTCCTTTACCTGGTGGCAGGCCGGAGCAGGCGACACCTTGGTCTACGCCGTTGATGTAATAATGGAGGTCGCCGCTGGCTGAGCGCATCATGCCGATCCGTGACCCTGTGGTCAGAGAGTCCAGGTCACAACCGTAGTTGTTGCGCATCGTGTTGCCATCCTGCATGATGGCTGTTCCACTGCGAGAGAAGGAAAGGAAAAGGTTTTTAATTGATGATTTAAACTATATGTGTCTGTTTTGTAATACATACATTTTTTATGTAGCTCACTTCTTTCAATAATCACAGAAAAATAACCTAAAAAAGGGAAAGTTTATTTCTGTATCAGAGTTTGTTTTAAACAGTTATACATCTTTTGAGTCTTCATGTTCACAGTGTTCTACCTGAGCATCCAGGTGTCATAGTCGATATCGGTCATAGTGTTGGGAAACTCAAGTTCGTCTGGCCTGATGGCCGTCACTCCTGCACACACAGAGAGGGGAGAATAAAAGGTTTAAATATAATGACTAAAATGCTGTATAGATACAAATGTTTGGTAACACAGAAAACACCTCACCTGCTTCTATTGAACCCGACCAGCGGTCCACCATCTTCTGAATAATGATTTCAAACAACTCTCCATCTCGAAGGCACCTACAAGGAGGGAACAAGTTCAAACCAGATTAAGTTCCTTTTCCAGTGGTTTATCTGGCTGTTTAACCACATTACTAATAACACTGACTAGTTGTGGATGGCTTTAACTAAAACCTTGAATGTGTCCTAATTACTCAGTATAGTGCTCAAGAATTTCTAAAGACACTTTCATGATTAAACTCTTGACACTCTGCTGGGTTGTTGTCAATCTGTCCCACATAAGCTTTAATTAACAGAAAACTGAGATTGCTTTCTTACTTTCTGTCGCCGTCTGCAGGTAACTGAAGTTAAAACTGAAGCACAGATGGCAGAACTGATGTAGAAGCTGATGTGTGTCAGAATAATAAGTAAGATTTACACCAGCTGTTAAGGTGTGATCCTCCCGGGCTTCTGCTGTTCACTATGTGTGCTTACTGTCTTCAATGTGTGTGATCCATAGATGGATATGAACCACTAACATGTGTTTGTAATTAGTTTCATCACCTGTTGGAAATGACAATAGCGTCATTGAACTCGCTGCGGCAGTTCTGACGCAGGGCGGTGCGCCCCCCATTGGTGATGACGGCGTTGGTGCCGTGTAGCTGGTGGAAACGCAGGTCGTTGGTTGTGCTGGCCCCGCCTACCGAGCAGGGGCTGCCGGGGGACATGGCCGTGGGGCCTTCTGAGCTGTCCTCTGGGAGAGGAGGGAGGTCCACTAACAAAAGGAGAGGAAATAGTTAGAAGTAGAATCTTTATTTTTAGCATCCAAACTGTTTAAAATGGAGCTTCCTCCCTCTCTCACCCATGTCGTCCATGATGGTGGCCTGAGCAGCCTGGCCGTAGAGGTCAACCACAGCATAGACACTGGGAGGGACGTTCCAGGCTGCCGGGCCCTGAGCCACACCGTTTACAAAGAAGTGGAGGCTGCCATCTTCTTTCCGCACAACGCCTACTGTGTCACCAGCCTGCAAGAGGAAATATAAGCGTTATTAAAACAACAAAAGGTCAGCGGCGTTGTGGGAGGAGGACGGAGGACGGAGGGTGTCTGTCAGCTGAGTAATAGAAGACAAATCTCACTCACCTTGAGTCGGTCCAGGTTGTGTCCGTACTCGTCCAGTATTGTTGTTCCATTGTGCATTACGCCATTCCCCGTCATCATCCACGTCCCTGGAAAACAACAACAGCAAAGATTTTGTTCATTACATCATTTATAGGTTATCAGGTATCTCAGAAAGGACTGAGACTGAAAGAAATCTCCACTCAGCAGATTTATTGTATTCTACCTGAGCGCAGGTTGGTCATGGTGGAGGGCAGCTGCAGGTATGCAGGGTTGTGCGTTGTGACTCCGATTTCAATGGAGCCCGCCCACTTGTCCACCATCTTGTCGATGCGAACCTGGAACACCTCGTTGGAGCGCAGCGGCCGGCTGCTCAGGACCACGCCATGGTTGAAGTCATCAGTCGCACTGTGAAAGCAGTGGTGTAAACTTATGAGTGTGTCCATGTGTTATGTTTGAAGTGCTGCATGTAAACAGTTTCTACCCATCCTCCAGTGCAAATGTAGGTATTTTTGCCAGACTCATGAAAATACTAATTGAATAATACGACCACGCCTAAACAAACGCCTAAAAAGACTTTTTAAGTATTAAATCTTTTAAAACTTGAGCACAATCAAGATAATAGAAGATTTTCCACACATAGAAATGTTCAGTTAAATAAATTTTTATACTTAACATAAAAACATTAAATTCAATGATACCAACCTAAAAATCAGTAAAAAGAACAGCTGTAATAAATTCAGGGGTGAGGTGAGGGGAGGTGGACTCACTGTGGCCGCAGAGCCGTCCTTCCGTCACTGATGATGGCGGCCTTCTGGCCACAGTTGGCGTGGAAGAGCAGCCGGTCGGGTCCCTCTGTGTCTGGAGTGAGGGAGAGAGCTGGCCTGGGCCGGCCGACATCGGGCGATAGAGCCCTCATGATGGCGTTATTGCGTCTGAGGCGGTCACTGTGGTTGTGGTTGTGGACTATGGTCACTTTGACAGCCATGCCGTAGAGGTCGACCACGCCGTAGACCACGCCGGGGGTCTGGGCTGCCGCAACACCTGGGGGATGACACCAAGTGGTTGGGAGTTTAAGTATTAGATCTTCAGTCACATCTTTATATCGTGTTGACATTACTGATAGTCTCTAAGCAGCTGATTGGTTGGGTGTTTCGTAATCACTCATTTATAACAATCACCATCATATCACAGCAACCACCAACTTCCCACCCTCCCCCAGCAGGGGGCCTCATGAAGAAGGGTCTCACCTTGGTCAATGCCATTGATGTAGAAATGGAGCGCTCCACTGGCTTTGCGCATCAATCCAATGTGATCTCCCTCCTGAACGTGGATGAGAGGAGTGGATGGAGATTATAAAAAGCAGACACACTTGCATGGCAGATTGCAGAAAGAAATGTGTGTGTGTGTGTGATCACAAACCTGAAGTTCATCGAGGCTGAATTCACAGTATTCCCTGCGGGTTCCTTTCCCATTGGTCAGTATCCCGCAGCCACTCATCATGATTGTACCTGATACAAACAGCCAGAATAATCATTCACACTGAACACTGAATGTTTTGTTTAATACACTTTCTATATGTCTGTATGTGTGTGTGTGTGTGTGTGTGTGTGTGTGTGTGTGTGTGTTACTGAGCCGCAGATTTAGTCAATAGTTGGCAGATAAGTCCAGGTTTGTTGGGGATTGGTGTGTGGTCACACCAAATCTCTATTGACCCTGACCACTTGTTCCCACCTAAGCTTAATCAATGCGGATCTGAAAGTGTAACAGAAATAACGTTTTAATATATTTCTAAACGATTTTTTTGATTATTCATCAGCTAAAATAAGAGATATTCTCTGCTTGTGCCACAGAGTGGAGAAATATCACGCGGAAGCTCCCGGCCATTAAGTACCTTCATTTTTTGATTCGAATCATATTGACGTTAACGAGCAAACTCTTTTCAAATAATTATTCTTTGTTAATGATCTCCTGGCAGCCGCTTAAACGGCTGTAAGCAGTTTAATCAATGGACTGAAATGTTTCATAAATCATTTATCAAGCACAAATGTAAATTATTTAACTGGATCCACCTGCCTCAAAATGTGAGAATTTTTCTTCTTGTTTTATACATTTTAAAATGTAATATCTTTGTCGAAAAAGGCAAGAAATGTGAAGATGTTGCATTCCCATCACTCTCGGAACTATTCTACAAACTAATTATATCAGTTAAGGATTCAACTAATGATTTATTTAATTAGCTGATTAATGCTGCATAGTATTTTGTGATTAAAGATTGAATGTTTGGCTATAAAAATGTCAGAAAATGGTGGAAGAAAAGACTGTTCCAAGTTTCTCAAAGTCCAAAGTGATGTCTTGAAATGGTTTTTTTCATCAGTCAAAACCTCTCAAAGATATATTCAGTTTAATATGTAAAGAACAAAGAAAAGCAGGAAAAATCTCTTTCCATCTTTTTGCATGAAAACATGACTTTTAAATTAAAAATGAATCAATTTAAAATACTAATAGGTTAATCAATAAAGAATCCCGATTTGAAAGCTCTAATTCTCAAATACATTGTTATTGTTATTGGTCAGGATACATATGTGATATGCTATTGATTCAGTATCCGACGTAAGCGCTCCTTTGCTGCCTCTCCCATTATCAGTTACTAACAACATCCAGCAGTGAGTTTGTGTGATTTTTAAACACCTCAAACATCTCGTTGTGTCGGAGCGGCCGGTTTGATCCATCACCGACGCCGTTTATTGAACTTCGTCAGCGGTCTCCTCCGCTCGCGCCCTTGTTGTTGCTTGCCCAGTTTGAAATCAGGTGTGCCTACATTTTCTTCGTGGAAGAGCAGCGCGTCGTTGGTGGTCATGCCCACTGTCACAACCCCCGGCGACCCTCCGTTTACAGCGGGACTGTTATTAGTATTGTCCACCTGTCCCTCCCAGCTCCTCCTCCTCACTCCCACTCCCCTCCTGTTGTCCGATATTCCACTGTCGCTTATTGACAGCACTCCCTCAGCTGCTGCTGCAGCTTCCCCCTGGGGTCGTTTCTGGAAGAGGAGTCGGTTCGCTGTGATTTTCCCCTCCTCCCGGCAGCGCTCCCGTTCCTCCACCATCTTCCCCCTCCGCCCTCGTCCTCAGAAGCGATAAAAAGGATACTATTGCGTTGTGAACACGTCAAAGAGCTGGCTCCCGTTAGAACGTGAAAAGAGAGAGAGAGAGAGAGAGAAAGAGAGAGAGAGAGAGAGGGAGAGGAGAGGAAGGTGTCCAATACGCCGTCATCCGACTAACGATCCCCATCGACGTGATTGCAAGGAGGGTTTTCTTACCTGTGTCAGGCTCCAGGTTGTTGGGCGAACTTGTCGGTTCGTGCTTGTGACCTGCAGCTAAAGCTGCAGGCACTGAATGGAGAGAAGAGTGTAAAAGTGAAACGACATTCCCGAATGCAGTTAGTAGAAAAAACAAACAATGACAGACTGGACCAAAAGTCCCCTACACTCATCTCTCCATTCATCATTCCAATTCATTGCCCTGCCACATTCTCAGTGGCCGTGATCCATGGCATCCTCCCGAACCCGCAACACCACCCTTCCTCTTCCTCCTCCTCCTCCTCCTCCTCATCCTCCTCCTCCTCCGCCTCCCGCTCTATTGTCTCTTTCTCCGCAGAGGGTGGCGGCGGCTCGCAGCTCACCACTGTCACTTGAGTGCACTTGCCGTACAGGTCCACCACTGCCCAGAGTTTGGGTGGCAAGCCACTCGCGGCCGCACCGCAGTCCTGCCCGTTGACCCAGAGGTGGAGCTCCCCGCGAGAGCTACGCTGAATGCCCACCCGGTCGCCCTCGGCTAGCTGGTCGAGGTCGCGGCCGTACTCCTCCAGGACCGAGCGGCCGTCGCGTAGCACCGAGCAGCCCGACACGATCCAGGAGCCGCCCTTAAGGCCTGTGGCGCTGCTGGGGAAGTCCAGCCCGGCAGGGTCAAGTGCAGTCACGCCAATCTCAATGGAACCGCTCCACGAGTTCACCTGAGGGGAAACCGGAAAGAGTTAATGAATGACAAATAATGACACATCTTGTTACCAGAGTCTGATCTTATTTCTTACATTTGACAATTTTTACTGATTGTGATGTGAATTTTTATAGAGCTGATGAAATTTAGAGACACTGGAAACTACAGAAACAGATCCAGAGAGAAGAAGTAGTAAGAAAACAGTTGTCAGCAGCTGTTACTCTGACAGTGTGGAAGCATCTGTGCTGTGATGTTAAAAGAGTGAAGCACTGCGCTAAAAACTGCAGGTAGATATCTATGGAAAACAAAGTGTGCCTTGTCGTATGATCCATCTTGTTATTTTTAGTCGTCCTGTCAGTGGAGAACGTAGCTCAGGGAGAGCTCCTTTGAAAACAAAGCAGGACAGTGTGAACACGCAGTGACACAAAGGGAACAGACTAAGCTATGTGATGGCAAAATATATAAATATATAAAACATTAGTGGTACTCTCTTCCAAGAACCAACTAATGGTATGTACCGCACATGACTGTAGCACCAGCATCCAAGTTCCATGATGAGAGGTTTAAAAATATACTGATGCAGAAAAGAAGTAGAGTGCACATCCCCTGCTATATTTAGACCTGATGCAGAAACAGATTAAAGAAAAAAACGGAAAGTAATACATCTCGCTCACGTCACATCAACACCACACTGATAGTCGATTGACCACGAAATGAGAGGACTGGACCTGTAGGGTCGAAACATTTCCCTGTTAATAAAGATTTGGGAGCTTTCAACCAGTGTGCAGATACTCTCAGATTTTTCCTCTCCTACTTTTTGGAATTTGAGGCGTAGAAAATCTTAGTGGAGTGAATTATAATTCCCCAGCTACTTGAGTTTCCAGATGACAGCTGTCAGTCGCTATCGCTCCTACCTCCTTTATCATGTTTTCTTCTTTCCACTGTATAGTGACAGAAACAATAATTGAGCGCTCTCATGAAGACACAGATGTGGTCCAGCTGTGATGATTAAACCCCTCGCATACAAAGCAAACAATATTTAAGCAAGCAGGCGTCACCTCCGTGATCGTGCCTTCCATTGACGACTCAAGACGTGAAAAACAAATGTTTCACTGCAAAACTCCTTTCCGTCTTTGCATGACATTGGAATCATATCGTGTAACACGCAGCCCACGATATCCATTCCTTCCCAGAAACACAAAACTCAACATAAGCTCCCGATAATGTGATACTTTATTGATCTCCAGGGGTAAATTCTATTATTTTTTTTTGCCTCCATGATGAGGATGACAGAGTGCAGTGTCAGCTACAGAGCGGAGTCGGTGCAGCTGGTGGACATTCAGCGTCCCGCTTAGAGGCACAAGCAGATGCTTTCCGACACACAGGGGCACGAACCCACGTCATCCCACTGAGGAGTGATCTCCTGGCTCGCTGCGCTCCACCTGCTGCCCCCCGCAGAATGACATCAAACAAAAAGCCATGAAGTTTGTTCCTTCAGAATCAGATCAAAAAGCACTCCGACGCTTTAGGATCAATCGTCAACCGATCTCCTCTTTCCTCTTTTCCCTGGCACTCCACAGGACTCTAGTGTAAGCTGGCAGAAATCCACCCGGATGAAGTGACCTTGAGCATAACATTGAAGTCCTGCTGGCTCTCGGGATGTTTTTCTGCAGCTCACCTCCGTGCCAAAGAGAAAAACAAAAGAGAATTTACTCAGAGATCAATATCATTTAAAAAGAACAGCAATCATTGCCTCCACTCCGTTGTCTGTTCCCGTGGTGTCCTCCTCAGCTGCGTGGCAGGTGCTATGTAAGGCAGTGTGCTACGAAAGCCCGAGTATCTGGGTTAACAGATTTAGAAGTAACTCAGCCTGACCGGGTCGCTGTGTGGAGGAGACAGACATCTCCTTCCCTTGCTCATTCACTTATGTAACAGCCAGCCTGTGGGTGTCTGCCTCAGAGTCTCTTTCTCTCTCTCTGTTCAAAGACCAATAACTACAGGATACAACCATACATGCCGAGTAGGACCGCTAGACAGCTTTCTAAAGAAATGAAAAATTAATTGCATCAAAAGCAAAGCCGGAGACTGCTACGACTATGCAGAGAGGGAAAAGCTTCTCGTCTCACAGACCACACACACACACACACACACACAGTTCTGTACAGGGGAGAGGTGAACTGAAGTCTCACAATAATAAACTACATTTCTGAATCAACCTGAAACGTAACAGCAATCACCGTTTAAAACAGTGAAATGATTTTGACAAAAACTTTTACTGATACCTTCATTTCATAGCTAATTTGACAACAGTGTTAGTAAGATAATGCTAGAATAGACTGTGTGAAAGATCATTTCCAAAGTAGGTTTAATATCAACAAAACTAATAACAGAACAATATTATAATACAATTAGCATATTGATAATATTGGCTGCAAAAAACTATTTTTAACAATCAATCTGGCATTTTTGTCTCTATTAATCGAATAATAGTTTAGTCTATAAAACAGAAAATACCCCAATTTCTCAGAACCCCTCAAACAGCTTGTTTCATCCAACCAACAATCCAAAACCAAAAGATATTCAGTTTACTGTCATACAACACTGAAAAAGCTGGAATTAGAGACGATTAGACTTTTATTCTTTACAAATGACCTAAAATGATACAGACATCTACAATTTAAATTAAACATTTCCAGCTAATACACACAACATGTTACCACCAACCACTGACAGTGTCCCACTCTGGGTGAACTGTCTGCACTCAGCTAACATCCTCTGTAGCTTGGTGGATGTTAGTAGATGAGGATGGGCCGTCATGCCAGTCTGGGCGCTCTGTGATGGAAAACTATTGATTTTCAGACAGGCAATGCATGTCATGATGGAGTATGAGGCAGTTCAGGAGAGCTGCTGTCCGGCTCAGAGCCCCATGAGGGATGGATAATCATTGACGTACAGCAGGTGCTATTAAACCTCATGTTTAGCTTTACTGGCTCACGGGCCGCTTTTGTCTCATCACGGTAGATTTTCTCAATAACTGCGTGTCTTGGCCGAACACACTGTCATTCAGAGGGTGAGCATGTGGCCCAGTTGGCACTGGCACAGGCTCCAGAGCTGCCATGTTGTTGACAAACCCAGGGTTGCACTCTGCAGAGGCCATTACAACAGACAAGCACTCCTCCTACGCCGATAACAGGCAAAATGTAAACACTGTGCACGGCCATTGATATGATACGAGGGAGACCTGAGTCACAGAGTGCAAGCCGAAGATAAGCAGTCGTGTGAAAGCTACAGAAACGGAGGGAATATCATTATGGATGGAAGAATTTCATACTGAACAACAGAGCTGGACTCATGTACGCTAATCAATCATCGTCCGGTCACATGACAATAACATATTTTAGGAAACACACCTTCAACTTTAAGAGACAATTCGGGCGATGGGATCCCGAACGGAAGAAGAGAGATCAACCCGTATCTTGGTGAGAGTTTACTGGTGTTAAAATAAACCCACACTGACATTCCCACTGAGGGAAAGGAGGGAGCTCTTTACTATAAACTGGCAGAAATGAATCACCACATACAACAAGCACACATCACATGTGGATCTGGATGAATCAGTGTGGAGATAAACCCAGCAGGTACTGGTGATGAGCTGGAAGAGTGTATATTAATGAGTTATAGGCTTTAGTGGTCACACTCCTCATGCGTTACAGTAGCAGCGCACCTTTAGATCGCATTAGAGCCAGTAGTAACACATAGGACACCCTCACTGCACTTGTATGTGTCTGTTTGTGTCCACACAGCCTTTATCTCACTACGAGAGCCCAGTACGAGCCCTGCAGTCGTGTTAGACCTCCTTCAACACAAAACCAACCGCAGATACATTCACCACGTTAGTTGGGACTCACAGCAACACCGTGTCAACACACAACTGAGCCCCAAACAGCTCCTCACCTACAGACTAACACACCGCTTTATACTTACTGCAGGTTCTGTTCATTAACACATACACACACACACACACACAGATATACAGACACACACACACAGACACACACAGACATACAGACACACACACAGACACACACACACAGACACACACACACAGACAGACACACACACACACACAGATATACAGACACAGACACACACAGATACACACACACACACACATACACACACATACATACACACAGATACACACACACACACACACACACATACACACACTGAGAAGAAGAGAGAGACAGAGAGGGATCATACTTGAGAAGAAGAGA